CCCCCCCCCCCCCCTCTCACTCTCATCTAGCACCCATCAAAGGCTGACCAGGGAGTCAGTTGATAAGAACATATATTCTATATATATATCTACATTTCTCTTTCCGAAGCTCGCTCGGGCGTACCGCTCTCACAGCAGAGTAACCTCTGTGGTAGACTACAAAGTCTACGAGCTACAGCAGCACCGCCACCTCCGCTGCTACAGAACGCCACATTTTGAGAACGGGCGCTCCGAGTCTCGCGTCTTGAGACGTGCTGTGATGTGATGCGCCCGCGAGCTATTACGAACCAACATCGGCGGACTTGTAGCCCCAACAAAATCCTGCCCGATAAACCTCTCAGCAGATGTTCGATCGACTACTATTATTTGGCAATCAGGCAGGAATGTTTGGCAATCAGGCAACGATCACTGACCCCGGGGAAGAGAATCTCGTAGCGTTGGGATCTCCAACCCCCCGTGAAATATGCAGACAACTGATTACGTACGAAGACGATCGATCCATGTGGATGATCCATGGAAAGTTCTTGCTTCGCTCAAACTGACTACACTGCGTCTGTCTCCAGCCCATGTGCGGCAGACGCTGAACAACCCACCAACAAGACTACATAGTACAACACAAACAAACACAAATATTCGGGGGAATCTCGGCCGGAGAACTAAACAGCTAGGCGATGGGCAGCTCCTCATTGGACGAATCACTCACTCATCGCTGCCTGCCGTAAGCGGCGAACATCTCTTCGTTGTAGACGACCTCAGGATTAGTGTAGTGGGTGGCACTGCAAGGCTTTGCGAGGGAGACGCCGGTTGTTGGATTTCATTGCGCCGAAAAAAAACAACGACGACGACCTGCCCGTCGCCATGCTGTGTCCAGATCGAAAGCGCTTCACCGTAAGCCCTTTCTACTGCTAGCGGCGAAGAAAATCGTCGCCGCGTAAGGGCCGTGCTACTTTCTCGTTCTCTCTGCACCTGTCTTTTTTGTTATTTAATTCAAGGGTTATTCTTGCTGTGTTGTCGGGGTGCGCCGTTTGTTTGATGTATGATGTGCTTATGCCGAGGCCCGAAATCAGGCGGGAAAAAAAAAAACGAGCGTTTCGGTTTGTGTTTATTCGGGCGGCATGTTTCGACGAAGGACGAGAGTGCACGCGCTGGTGCTTGTCTACGGTTCGTTGCTGTGGTTGGACACTGTAAGTTCGTTAGACCTGTTTCCAGAGCCTCGTCCTTAATCGTCGAAGTTAACGAAATGGCAGCAGTTCGCACGGTCACAAGCTTAGATATTCTTCAGTGTTTCCGGGTCCCGAACATTTAGGGTGAAAACCAACAAGCCCGCCCGGAGGGAGTTTGGCTCTCTGCGACGGGTTCTCTCGTGCTTTTTGTAGTAGAGCCAAGAGAGAGTACGAGTGCCGCCAGCGTTGGCTGGCTGAGCATGAATAGTCAAAAGTCTCAGCTGGACACTAAGGCAAAGAATGGAAAGGGTTTTGTGGTCCCACGTCCGCCCGCCAACGGATCTATTTCTCAAGTTGTGAACGGAGGTGCTCTAAATATTTCACGCAGAAACATGGGCTCGGTAGAGGTCGTTGAGAAACAATCCCCAACGTATATGCGCATCATCTCTACGTGAAGCTTCGTCCGTAGGGCCAGGATACCGCCATCCAAGCAGCATAAACCGCGCGCATGCTACATCGATTCGCCCGACTCTGGTAGGAAGTAGACAAGCCCGCTCATCGCATGGTTCCACCCACGTTGGCGCGGCAAAAAACTGGGCCACGCTCGACGGAGCGTTACGTACATACATTAAAAGTTGGACTCAAATCGTCTCATGTTTCAAGTGTCGTTTGATTTTCGGCGAGCGCATGACCCGTCAGTTGAGCGGTTTACCCCGCCCTACCGCTCTCGCTGTTCTTCATCGACCACGAGACCAGAACTAAAACGCCTGCGTAAGCACTGGACCACAAAAACCGTGATTCCACTGCATCGACAAGCCAAGTTTGCTTCGACTCTCCCAAACCCCTCCAAGCTTGCACTACCGGCGCGTTGGGACCCAAAAGCGCCCAGCTACAGTAGACCCATGAACCGCAAAACGAAAACATCAACAACCAGCAACGAAGACTACAACGCACGAGATGGGGCTGGAGGGCGGGGTCCTTACGAGATGCCGCACAAGGTGTGGACGGGGACCAGTTTTTACGGAGGGTCTTACTTGTTAGCCTCTCCAATAGGAGTGGACACCTGAGGCACAAAATATAGTAACGCCCGCGTCATCACACTCGCTCAACCAGAAACCGTGTGCCCGTTCACGACCGTCTCTGGAACCCCGCCCTCCAGTAAAGATCAGACCTGACTAGGGCAATAACGTCGTGCGTTTCGACAGTACTTGGTGTACAAAAGAACCTTCTGTAGGTAAAAAAAATCCAGTTGGCCAGGATTTGCTGTCGGTACCTGGCTGGGAAATGACGCAACAGCCGCATGATCCACACCTCAGACAACAAAATGCTTCCGTCTCAATCTCCTATTTCTTTTCAACAAGAACAACGAAACGGACGATAACCGTAACCACAAACAGCACAGGCAGGCAGTCCTGCGCACATGGCGCAAGGAAATCAGAAAAAAATAAGGCCACGACCAAGTGGGCAGACAAATCACCGTCCTTCCCAGAGGAAGCCGCCGCACACGCCCAAAGCATGTGGCGCGAGATCAGCTAGACATCGACAAGATGCTCCTGTTCAGAGATACATCATGGAGCGAACTCTACTCTCAAGGAAGACATCATGAACTCGCGCTGAATGCGCTGCATAATCTCCATCCTGATCGACTTCAGGCTTGCGCTCGACCCCGTCATCTTCAGCGTTATCACCGGCTGCAAGACAAGACGAGGCGGTGCCAGCAAACAACGTGGGGACGAGGCCATCACAGACCGCTCAGAAAAAACAAACACGCACAGTTAGGTGTTTGACGCTATCGGAAAGGTGAGGGAGACTGAGGTGTTAAAAAGGAGAACGCTAAAAATGAGAATAACACGAGCTGCGTTGTAGGTCACCGAGCATAGAAGGGTACGGCTTTGGGCATCAGTGAGGCATTTGTCCATTTCATTTTTCGGACCCGACCAGCTTTACATTTTATGGTGATGCTTTTCGAACTGTGTCCGTGGTGGATCAGAGGCTCTCTCTGAGGCAGTGCCATGGCTCATACCTGTGCCCACCGGCCTAATGGATCGGGCTGGGGCGTGGACTTCAGTCTACAATACATACACTACCAAAACGAAGCTAGCTTTTTTGCCACGGTCCGTTGGAGCGGGTTGCCCTATCGCTTGTAGTCACCAGCTATCGCATGTTGTAGTCACATGTGTGTCGGTCAACACCCAATGATCGAGTGACGAGCCCCCTCTCGGAAAATCGGGGGAAAAAATGAATCCTGTCCCGTGCCCTTGTCATGTCAACAGTTGGGTGAAAATACGCCGCGTTTCGGCAACGAAGACCATGACAATGTGCTTCATGTTGCTAACTTAATCTTGTTATTCGGCGGACCAAGCTCATGTCTATGTCGATGTTGGCGAAGCATGCGGCAGAATGGCCAAGCAAGTGTCGATGCACCTCTATCGATGAATGGTGAGTGTCTCCTAATGTTTACCGAGAAAAGTGTTACCTGAATCGAAGACACCCCTGTGAGCGATTGAATGTTGATGCTCCCCCCCGCCACGCTCAGGAATGGCCGTACCCCGTCCAGCACCTTCTCCACGTTCTCAACCTGCATGCGATTGTATACCCATATATTTTTCGTGACGGAAAAGCAAAAGGGAGGGGGCGGCGAAAGTTAGCGCTGAAGACGCGGAACGTGTACCCAGCTTTACTTAAGCCATCAAAGCACAACAACTCGATTGTTGGCGTGTTTGGTTTCGCAGAAAGAAAGTACAGCAACAAGGCACGAAACGAGGCGTTTTTAATTCAGTTTGTGGTGCCAACCAAACGTACGGGGTGGAGGAGACGGGTGTCAACACAACCGCAGGAGGGGGTCCAACCCCCCCCTCCTATGTGACCCCGGTTGGGTTTTCTAGCTGGTAGAAGTGGAGGATAGGGGCCAGAGGGGCAGACGACAGAGCCCAATGATGGGAGAAAAAAAACAAACGTGGCAACGAGAGCCACACTGAGCCCTCTCACACACCGCGGTATCTCTTGGCTTGCTGAAAACCTCTGCTTGAATTTAGGGTCCGACGACAAGCACAGCAGGGTGAGTGGGGTGTGGAAACCAACCTCCCCGTACCCTACAATACGCACAAAACAAGTCGTGAACATGAAAATAAAAAAGAAAGGAAACAAACGAACCGGGATGACCATTCGCTCTTTTCTCTACGCGTCGAAACCAAATTTTGGAACACCCGCCTTACGTCGGAGGTATCACAAGGGCACGGACCACATCGGAGCCCATTAACCTAGACCTGAAGATTTCTGAGCACTCGCGTCATCCTCGATGAGGAACCGGCCTAAAACGAATTTCTAGCCCATAATCTCCTACATGTTTTTCCGAGGTTGTGTGCGGAAAAACAAAAGTGGCAGGAAGATATAACCCCGGCTGTGGAGCAGCATATCCAAACATCTCCAAGGGCAACATAGGTCAAGGCTATTTCCGTCTAGGACGTCGCATCCACCCGGTACCGAACAGGCCGGGAAGTACTGAGCAGAATTCTTCCATACTGCATGAAACACGCCGATGGGCGCACAATTACTCAGTTCTGCTCCGAGCGGACATGCACGACATGAAAAAAAGAACAAAAGACGCTCGCGCCTCCACCTTCATACACCACCCCACACCCACCAGCACATATCCCTCGCTCGCATCTCTGTAACCTCACCGTCAGCTCCGGGCCGTTGGGGATGGACTGTACGACCTCGCTGATCTCCGGGATCCGTTGCATTAATCGCCTCTCCAGACCCATCTTCATCGTCATCGTGCTGGAAGGGCAGCTGCCGCAGGCGCCCTCCAACTCCAGCCGCACCACCGGACCGTCTATCTCCACCACCCGCACGTTCCCTCTGGGAAGCAAGTATCAGGAGAGAGGGGAATGTGGGGTGATGTCATCGGTTGTCATCGACATACAAAAAGGCTAACATGGTTCAGGTACATGCGATAGTGCTGCCGGAGCATGCGAAAATCGTGTCTGGGTTGGCGGGGGATGGGGGGGGGGAGAGTGAACCAGTCGCAAGTCGCAAGGCCAGGTGGAATCTTGCGTCATCGCGCGCCACAGACGGTGCTGGGTAGGTCTACGATTGATGGGCGAAAGAAGAAAGGCGTCAATTTTATTCTCGCACTGCTAGTGTTTGCCCCAACCCGGCGGCGGACGATGAGGAACGCACATGTAAGTCCCGCAACGAGGCGGTATGGGGCGTCGACGACATGTGTTAACTATCAAAGGCTCCACATACGCGATCCTAGCAATCTCAATGTGCGAGGCAATATCCTGTACAAGTAGTTGCGTGGTTGGGTGCGCAATGATTTGGGTATCATCTAACATTCAGTCTTGAGGACGCAATAACGTAATTTATCTGCACACAACGAACCCGTTGCGCTATCGCCACAACTCCCGTCGAAACGAAACAGCACGCAACACGCAACCACAAGTTACGGGGATCGCCGCCATCTAAACGATTCCAATTGAGACCGAACAATCGGCAGGAAACTGATACATCGATCGCCGTAGGATCCCATGGACAGATTGTGACCTATGCGGAGCGATCACGACAGAATGCCAGCTCAATCGCCTGCACCATTCTCAGCCGTCACAAACTTTCACCAGAGAGAGAATGCCCTGTGGTCGACGGGAAAAAAACTGTGGTATGAGTTCGTTTCATCACTCTGCGCGTCAAGTTTTCAAGCTGTCAGCGACATCGTTGTCAGTGTGAAATATCAAATAACACGTGCTCCGGAGCAGGCGTCTCTGGAGGATCGCTTGCTCTTGTCTGGGATATTTCGCAGGGGCGCGCCCGCCTGGCAAAATTTGTGTGTTGCAACGCCGGACTGTTGACCGGGTCTGTAAGTTAGCCAATCGTGCGGCATATTTCTGAGAAGATCCAGGGACAGAGATACGGCAGGGATGTGCCAGACACACGCAAGATGTCATCTTGTCTTCGTCTACGTTGAAGTCATCCTTGACTAGCCTACGTGATGGGCAGAGAGGTGCAGACAAAGGAAAAAGACAACCACGTGGAGAGCGGGCAGCCCTCCTCTTAGCGCCCGCACTTAAGAACTGAGCAGATAAGAAATTGAGACCAGCAAAAATCACAAGCTAAGAACTTGAGCACCATTTGTGAACTCGGTTAAGGACCCTACACTAACACGAATATAGCGGTCATTCGTAGCCCACAAGAGGATGATGAGCAAAATAAGAACCCCAGCCTCGGCGGAAACTATAATAGAGGTTCTTAAGTGCGGGCGCCATCTGTAGAGAAGAAAGGCGTATCACAAAGCGCTGTCCCTGGTGCAATATTGTACTTACATTGCCACTTTGCACTTATGTTTTTCCCTGCTGCTGAAGCACACGAGTTGGCTTCTCGATACATCCTCTGTGTCTTCGTTACCGTCAAACGTTTACTATTAGAAGCGCAAGAGGGCGTGAAGGGGAGACAATTCTCACCCTCACAACACAAAAAAAGCCCCGCAACAGCAGGAGTCGCCCTAACAGCAGCACAGCAGTAGCAACGCACCGCGCTCACTGTCCCAGCAGGGTGCAATAACGCACACACACGTGGACCATGCACTTGCAAGTTGCGCCTTCGTCTGCGAACATCGCAGCTCCCGCCCATTCCCTCTCCTACACATGTGTGCATACGTCTCACCCATCCGACATGAGGTACGGTCGCATCTCGTCCAGCACGGTCTCAACGTTCTCGAGGGTGAGCGTCAGCAAGGCATCCGCGTCCTCCCCATCCCCCATGTCCGCCATGCCGGGCGAGGCGAACGGGGATTCGATGTCCGTCGACGACATGCGGCGCGGTGCAACGGCGCTCTCAGAAGCCCCGTTGCGCCGCGGCGCCGATCCCCACCCCCGCGCCTGCTGTTGCGCTCTGCTGCTGCTGCTGCTGCTGCTGCTCGCTGCTGCTGTACGAGCCAGTGCGGACGTCGACGACGACGAGCATGAGCGGCAGTGCGCTGGGCCTGCCGGGACGAATGCAGGGGGCGCAAAGGCCCCCGCTCGCGAATTCTGGAGCGAGATCGCTGCTACAGCGGCCACCGCGATCCCTCTCATGAAGCTAGTCCCCATCCTCCCGGTGAGTGGCGTGGGTATGATGGGGTGCTTGTCTTGGAGCCGAGTGAGAACGGGACAGAGACAGAGCAGAGAAACGCGCCGTCCCAAAAAGCAAGCTCGCACAAATCAACGGAAAATAGCGAGGGTCAGCCAATGTGTATCTCAATTAGCAGCTCCTTGATGAACGCAGCTTAGTTCGTCTCCGTGCCTCTCTGCTTGTTGCGTGGGTGAATCACAGCAACACGGCGCTGTGCCCATGACACATACGCATACGCCGCACCTCGAGGCGGCACATTTTTCTCATAGAGCTCCGTGTATCATGTGTATATCCTTAGTTTATTCTGCGGGGCCCCACAACCTTGCAACCTTGTGGCGGACACTCCAAACTAAAAAATCGGACTAGGAGCCAAAGCAATCGAACATAAGACAACCAACAACCCTTGTGATCCACGCTCGCTACACGTACACCATGAGCCGCGACAGGGGGAGAGGCGGGTACGGCAGGGATGACAGCCGCGACCGCGACCGCGGTGGCGACCGCGGGAGAGACTCCGGGCCGGGAAAGGTCTCCCTGCTCGTCCGCAACCTGACCTTCCGCACTCGAGTGGACGACGTGAAGCGTATCTTCACCGACTTCGGGGACGTGCGCGACGTCTACCTTCCCCTCGACTTCGGCACACAGTGAGTCCAGTCCATAGCGCCCTCGCTCGGTGGTACCAAGCGACAGCGAGCGAAGCTCTCTACTCTCTCCTGCGACTAGCCTTTTCCCTCACACTTTTTTTGTACTGTTTTTTTTTCGTTTTCTGGGGGAAGCATCTACATCCCAGTGTACCCGTACAGTCGCTGAGTGAAGAGAGAGAAGGAAGAAATTGTGGCCAATGGGGGGGTGCGAGATATACCCCCCTCCTCCTTGGGTAACCTTACGAGACAGGGACCGCGAACATAATCGTGAAACACCCGCGCCTCCGCCGCTTGGTTTAACCCGATAACAGACAGTAAGTTGGCGCCTTTTTTTCGTCTCACCCTTCAACAATAGGGATTTTTTTTTTCGCATCAGTCAGCTGTGTTTTGGGGTCGTCTTGTGGACTTGTTGAGGGCGTGCCGGGTCGGCCATTACAGGTCGGCCCGAGCTCGTCGGTGTGCGCCGGATGAAGTTCCAACCAGAAGGTACCCATGATACATATTGGTCTGCACGTGAGGGAGACTCCATGGCACTACAAGTTTAGTCTTGATATGTTTTGTTTTGTTTGGTGTTGATGTGAAGAACGAAACCGGCGTGAAAATGTACACGGGTTTGGACGTTGCACTGCTTCTGTTCCCATGCATGTAAGATATCTTGTACAATCAATCAGCGTGTTCGTGGATATGATTCTGCACGGACGCGCCGACACGGGATGTATCTCCTCCGTCGTTTGCCGTACGCGTCAGTCAAGTCACATTCTTGGCCATGGAACACTCACTGTTTTTCGACTCGCTCGTATGCTGCACAGACGTTGCGCAGTCGGTGCCAAATAGAGATACAGACACGATTTTTTTTTTGGCACCCCTGTGGGTAGGTACACTAGAAAATAACCTGTGTCCACAGCACGCGTCCGTGTGAACGAGATAGATGTAGATATGGTTCGTGTCGCTTGGATCCACTCTCTGTCAAGAAGGAGAGCTGCAAATTTGTTTCGATCTCGTCGCATGAGGCATTACAATGTGTGACCTGGTGCTTGAGCACGTGCGGTATATGAAGGTCTCCTCTCACACAAGCCGGCCCAATTTTGGCTCCTACTGCTGTGTGTGTTGCTTGAACTCCTCGGTAAGACAGAGGAAAGGCTGTGTTCAGTGTCTAGTCCGTTTGTTAGAGTTGAGGGAAAAACCTGCTGCACACGCACGATTTTGACAGTCTCTTCCTTCCTCTTTTTTTTTTTTGTGTGTGTTGCCGTCTTTTCGACGCTCTCACGAGAAAGAAGGGCAACTCTTTCGTGTGGTGGGAGGCGATAAGAAGGTCGAACGAACCAAGTGCTCAAGTCAAGTCAAGTCAAGAAGTCCCCCCCCCCTCGGTCCCGAGTACTAGAAGAATCCAAGAAACCACCCCTGTGTTGCCCCCCTCCTTACGGCCGAGCCGATTCAAGCCAAGCCCCCAAGTCAAGCGTCTGTCTCAAGTAGTGTTGGCGTTTTTCAACCCCCAAGACGTCCCTGCTGGGCCAACAACCTTGTTGAAAGGGGGTGAGAGTGGGAGCGGGGATGGATCTCGAGACAACGAGCCGTGGATGTGAATCCCAAGAGAGGCAATTCCAAGTTTCCAAGCCCGAGCCAGGGAACAAGAGGACGGGGGCGGGAAGAAGGGAAGGGAAGAGAAGAGAAGAGGAACGAGAGAAGAAAAAGAGGGGGGTCGGCAGACAAGCCCCTTGGTCGCCTCGAGCTTGTCCGAAACGCGCGAGCGGAGTTACGTGGGTTTCCCTATGAAGTCGCGGGGATGAGAAGGGGGGTGCGGGCACAAGGTCCAGTCAAGCCAATCAAGAGAAGCTTGCAAGAGAGTATTTCCAAGATCCGACAGAGAAAAAGGAATCCCCGTCCCCCCCCTCTGTTGCTGCCGGCGCAGAGGATCATCAAGGCGGAACGGTGATTCGGTCGTGTGCAAAAGGCTGTATATGGTATTGGTAGTATTGGTACGATTTGAGTTCCGTTTGCGTTGCCGAGGTTTTGCATTTGTTGAACGGGAAAAGAGTGAGCGATGAGTCTGAGAGTTGCGCCTGTTTTTGAGTGTCGCAAATCCTTGAGCGCTCGTCGATTTCAATATCCCTAACACTTCATGTCGTTACCTTTTTTTCGGGGGCAGTTTGTTCCTTGGTACGAGTTGTTTCATTTCGGCGGCCGAAAAGCTTGTACCCTCCACAAAGGTTGTTCCCGCCTGCTGTGCTTTGGTCCTCACTACTTCTGACCCCTTCGTTGTGCACCCTTGCCCTCGTCCGCCCCCCGCAACGCCTTCGGCTTACTCTGTTACTGTGACGTGACTGGACCAAACGCACCACTGCTCGATGTTGCCTTTGGCCGTGGTCATCTTGGCGAACAGGAAGCCTCGCGGCTTCGCTTTCGTGGAGGTGAGAAGAGGACGCCGTTTTTTTTTTTTTCGGTCGTACAGATGCCGTGTCGGCGGTAGCTGTCGCTGTTCGTGTCGAGCGGCAGCGTAGGCACACAGCAGTACAGGACGACGACAAGCTCTCACAGTTGTTATTTAGTTTGCGTTTGTTGCTTTCACGAGGGCCTGGTAGGATTTGGCGACCGCTCTCTGCGTCTCTCTCCAGACGGACCGTGCGAGAGGCTCGAGGGTTTCGCTGGGTCGCGTCTGTTGTCGGTACACACACCGCTTTGGAGGAAAGTGTGCCTGCTGCGTCTGGACTCTAGTCTGCACATTTCTTCCCTAGCAGTCCACATTGAATTGAGAAGCCGAGGATATCACGCCCAACCAAGACACGCGAACCGCCGTTCGTTTCTTCTCCTTTTTGTGTCACGATATCTCACACGCGTCTTGTCGGTATAAGTTGGTCTTGTGCTACCTACCGCCGTGATTCGTTTCGTACACAATGGGATAACAGCAACCAGAGAAAAAGCGAAGAATAGAATGACAATCAACCCGATTGTGTCTTGGTGCGGTGCCCCTTGTGCTTGCTCCGTCCCTTTTCAGTTCTACGACCCCGGAGACGCCGCCCACGCGAGAGACCGCCTCGATGGCTACAACCTGGACGGCCGCAACATCTCCGTCCTCTATGCCCAGGTTCGCACAATGGTAGTTGTTTGCCGTGTTGCCACGGATATATGGCTGTGCTCCACTTACCGGTGTGTTGGCGGCACCCCCTGGGACTCCAAAACTACAGATGCTCCCTCCGAACCAGCTGTTGACGATTTGGGAGGCAAAAGGGCTCCCATCACTTTAGATCCTAGGTGGTCACGCTTGGCCTATTGCGAAAATAGGTGGAAACACTCATGCGATCGCTTCTCATTGGTGTGTGTACTCGGTCGAATAGCCTTCATCGAAGTTCTGCACTTTCCTGTGAAAATGAGGATGACAAGGACGGACCAAAGGTAAGGTTTTCTGGGCGACGCCGACGGTGCCGCCCAGTTGGGGTTTTGTTCTTGAGCTACTTTGTGGAGTTGTTGCGCACCTGACCGTCTTGACCGTCTTGGATGGCGTCATATTGGCGGCGACGTGCACATTGTGCCCCCCCCATCTCCGCCCGCCAACTCGAATGCAGCCGTGAACGTTGGTTTAAGCAGTTTGGAGAACATAGGCATGCTGGAATCGATACACGTAGTGCGTCGACCCATGTATTCGTTGTAATTCTCCACTCCGGCAACCTGTCTTGTCGACAACTGATTTCGGTATTTTCCATGTACAACTCTCCTGCCAATCCTCTCGTGCACAGCACTGCTGCTGTACGCTCCCCTTGTTCCCGCTTTTTACAGTAAATATTTTGCTGCTCGTGGCTGGCTTCTTGCTGGACTTGCGCACTAACTTTTCGCCCCCACGACGTTGCACGCTTGCAACAGGAGAAGCGCAAGAGACCTGAAGAGATGGTCCAGAAGGAAAGGGTCGAGGGCCGCGGGGGCTACGGCAGGGGGCGCTCCAGATCGCGCTCGCGCGGGTACAGCGGCTACGCGGCCCGCCGCTCCAGATCCCCCCCCCGACGTCGCTCCCGGTCTTCCTCGAGGTGTGTGTGGTGGTGGGGTGCGTTGCGCTTTTCTTTCACAGGAGGCACCGGTAAATGGGTACCACCCATTCCGCCCCCGTTCCGCCCCCGTTCCGCCCTCGTCCCGCTCCACCGGAGAATATGTTGCTTCATGTTTGAGAGAGACGCCCAAGCCGCATGCAGTTTTCCCTCACGGCAAAGTCTTGTCGAGTACGAAAAATCTCTGGTGGTCGAATAAATCTCCCTGTTCTTTTGAGTGTTGTTGAGGGGCGAAGGTGGTGCTCTTTTTGTCGAAAGCTGGAGAAACGAATTCTTCCCCCCTGCGTTTGCTGCATCCTCTCTTGTCTGTGTTGTTGTCTTCGTTCCCTGCGGTTGTTTCCCCGCTGACCATTGATTTTGTTTCTCTTGTCCACACTGGGGGCTGCGCAACACCGCACAGATCCCCTCCCCGCAGGCGGGACCGGAGCTACTCCAGGGGCCGCGAGCGCCGCCGGTCGAGGTCCCGCTCCCGGAGCCGCTCCCGGAGCTACAGCCGCGGAGGCGACAGAAGCAGGGGACGGTACTCGCGCAGCCCCTCCCCCCGCCGCGAGCGGTCCCCTTCCCCGAGAGACCGCCGGAGGTACAGCGACGAGGAAGAGGAGGACAACAACAACACTGACACTGGCAAGGGCGGCGGCCGGGGCGGCGGCGGCGGCGGTGGCTACGATGAGGATGGCGGTGACGAGGAGGCTGGTCACGGCCGTGGGGAAGGTGATGACGGCGACCAGGCTTAAGTTGTCGGGCGACGACGGCGTGCTGGTTGTTGGTTTGAACGTCCGCGTGCGTGCTGTGGCAGCTGGTGGGTTTTGGAGAAGCTACAGGCCGCTAGTGGTAGGTTAGCCAGTTGCGCAGCCGTATGGTTGGTGGGAGCGTGCGCAGCAGGAGCTCGCGCTTCCAGGCGCTGCTGCTCATTGATGCAGGGCTCTATTGGTAGTCATGACGGAAAGAGGGAGAAGGAAAAGAATTACAGTTTTAGAGAAGAAGCAGGGTCGCAGTTTGACGAGAAAGTGCGGGTCGTTATTTTGTTATTATTGAGGTTGGGAAACGGTATTAAACTACCAAGCGAGAGCGTGAAGGGGACACTCACTCGCTGTAGCTATGTTCAGGCGTCCTGATGGTCTTTTTGGTAGATGTTGTCTCGAGTAACGTTAATATTAGGAGCAGCCATGCCTCTTGCGTGCGGTGTCGGGACACACACGTGTCGTTGTTGGGCGTATGCCCCTCGTCGCGCACCGTGAACAGGACTTTTGGGGTAACGATTATCAGCGGGCACCGCACCCAGCGCGAGGTTCGGCAGTCATGTCTGTATGCCGTGGCCGGAATGTCGCCGCCTTTCGTTGCCGCAATTCTGTGCAGGTATGCAGCTCACGGGTGGGATAGCATGTGCGTATCGTTGGCTGGCGTATCGTAGACATAGTGTGTAGCTCACAACGGAGTGATGGTCGTTGAAAGCCGGCGTTTTCGGTAAACGAACCACTACAACAGAAGGATCGTCTGGTGGTGCCTTGAGGTCGTTTCTTGTTTCCTCTTTGATTGAGAGGAACCCAAACAGCGACCTGGAAAGGTCTTGGCACCTGTTGTCGAGCCAATGGATGGACAAATAGATTTGGGTTGTCCCTGCCGTCAGGACTCTGTCCCTGGAAGAACTGATGGAACTCCACAAGCCGGAATGGTTTCCCATGTATATTTGTAACTCCCAGGTTAGTTAAGTGAACGAACGTCGGGACGATACCGCGCGTTGTTGTTGTTGTTTCTCACATTAGCTGTATAGTCCACAAAAAATGGGGAGACCGTGGTCTCAAAACCCGGCACATACGACGCCGCGAGAAAAAAAAAAAAAATAGGGTACAAACCATCGGAAATAGAAAACAAAAAAATGATAAAAAGAAAAGAACAGGTAGCGCACCGATCGTTCGAGAAAAGAGCCCTCGGAAACCGATCAAAATAAAACAAAAACAAATTAGAGGAGGACGCTTCCCACACCCGCCCAAAGAAAAAATCAAAGGGTAACGTTCCAGCACTAGGCACTACGCACCAGGGCATGGGAGTAACGGAGAAAACAGGACAAAGAGGCGGCAGATGGGCAGACAGCCAGACGTACACTAAACAAAGGCAACAGCAAAGCGAGATCAAGGTACCCAACACAGCAGAGTAGGCAAGGAGGTCTTGAAAAATAGAAACACAGCACAGAGGCCGAAGGCAATTCAAAGGACATACACAAAGGAGTATAGCACACAGCAGGGACGGAAACAGGGCGCAACAACATCAGCCGGGTACATAGTTCGCCACAAGTGCTGCCTCGGCCGCCCTACTCGCTTCTACAGCAGTGCCCGGTCGCCGTTTCTTCCCCCCCACCGCCGCTTCCCCGGCTCTCTTTCTCTTCGGTCCTGAGGCCGTACTCTCTGCTTATCCTTCCCTCGCGCGCTGGCGCTTCGCGGACGCTTCCGCCTCCTGCCTGTGCCATTTCCTCATGAACCATGCCGCCCCGTCCTTGACCTTGATGTACCACACCTCCGGGTCCTTGGCGCGCTCTTTCCATTTCCCCCCTTCCGTTTCGTCTCCCGTGTTGAAGGCAACGAGGTCCTCTCCTAGACGAGACACCCAGTCGCTCTCCTGCCCGCCCCGGTATTATGCCCCCCGCCATCGCTCCTAACAGCATGCGCTTGGGGAGGCGGCTGTCCTCCATGCGCATAACAAAGCCCGCGAAACACAGTCTCCGTTTGCGCACGGTGGCCTC